GGAAGCAGGATGCTGATTCCAGCTCCTGCCTGGAGCAGCACGTTGCCTTTACAGCTGGGAACTGGGTTGGGGGTTTGGGCCCTGCGTGTGGTCCAAACATAGGCAGGAATCCTCCTCTGGGTGGTTCTGCTACCAAAATTAATGCAACTAAATAAAGTGTTGTGGCTCTGTCCTGCTGCTTCCCCGAACTGTGTGTTAAGTGAAATCCAAATCTTGTCCTGTTAAGATGATGTCAACAGGAACGGTTGCAAAGATGAAGGGAAGTTTAATTAAACTTGTGAGTCAGACTCTGGATGTCTCCCCTTTATTAAATGGCCTGTTTGTCCTAACACAGACCCAGGGCTTGGGGACAGCACTGAAGATCCTGTTTTCTGAAAACCTGATAGAGAAGATACCTGAAAGTGGCCCTTCCTATGGATTCCAGCTGACGAGACAAGAAATTGTTGCTTTATTTAACGCTTTTGGAAGGTTAGTCTCAGACTTTTCATTTTCTTCAGCTTTATATGTGCTGTACTCTTGCATCCCCTTTAAGCATAAACAGCTCAGTTTTGACTAGCAGTGTTGCTGTTAACTCCTGCTCTGAACATACCTCATACCTGCTCATAAAGAAGCTGTCAGATGGTTTTAGGGCAGGGTGCAACAGTTGGAATATTTAAAACAACTGCTTTGTCATTCTTATTTCTATGAGGACCTCAAGCAAGTGCTCCCATGTCCTGGGAGTGCACCGTCCCCAGGCAAGGGTTGCTGTTCTTACCCATTCCTTGCTCAGTTTAACTCTCCCTTTGAGCTTACGGAAAGCCAGATGGAGAATCTTGGCAGAAGTGAAGGCAAAAAAGGCCTTTAGGCCCTCGGTGAGGAGTGCAGGACGCTCTGGTTATGCTTTTCCACTTCGTGGTGGTGGCAGCCCTGGAGTTTCTTGTGAGGTTGCTGCCCGTAATGAAGGGCAGTGGTCCTGCTTACATCCCACTTCAAACCTCTCGAATTCTCTCTTCTGCCGTGCGAGCCCCCACCTTTATGAGCATCCGTCAAATTTAGAAATACCTACAATACCCTTAACCATCCAAGGGTTTATTTTGGTTTGTTTTTCCCCTCTCTTGCTGCCCCCCTGAGCTCAGCTCTCCTTCAGAGAGCGGTCCAGCTCCCTCGCTCTGCCTTCACCTAGGCCCTGCTGACACAGCTGCAGACCCTGCAGCTGCTTTGAAGGGCTCTCTTAGAGGAAGCTGAGGGCTGAGAGAAGCAAAAAGCCTCTTTCTCCCTCGCCTGCCCCATGGAAGCCTTACCCTGGCCGAGCTCCTCTGTGCAAAAGAGTCTGCAAAACTTGGTTTTGGTCACAGCTGAGCTCTTAAATAATTTACCTGATTTTTAAGTTCTCTCCTTCCAAGAGCCGATTATATCTTTACTTCATAGCAGTCCATTTCTTTGGATCTTTTTAAAGTAAGGTGCGATGCATGTGTTGCTCTAATATTTTCCTATCTGTTTCCCTTGCACACAGGATTTCCACGAGTGTTAAGGAACTGGAAAACTTCAGGACCCTCTTAGGAAATATGCAGTGAAGTCACGTGAGAGAAAGACTTAAAGTTTTACTGTTCAGCTGCTTCAGTTCAGAACTGTTCAGGGCCGTTCAGAGCTGTCCTGGGTTCTATAAAAAGGGGCAAACACCACAATTTTATCACACTCCAAAGACAACAAGACCAAAATCACTGCTCGACCTCCCGTTGCCAACTGATTGTCTATAACCTGCTGATGCCAAATACTTTGTACCAAAAAAAAAAAATCTATTTTTTTTACACAGTGCAGGGACTGCATGTAAAGTTTATTTTATATAGTGGGAGATTATTTGGGGTAACTTCTTTTAAATATTGCTATATTGATGGCTGAGACATCTCTCTGCCTTCAGAAGCTGGAGCAAGGGCTAAAAACGTGATGCTGAATAAACTGGGGGATGCAAAATCCGGCCGTGTGGTAGGGCCCCTGCTTTCTCCTTGTCTGCTCCAATTCCAGCCCTCATCTGCAGCCTATCCACAGGGATTTTCTACTGGGAATGAGAGGAATGGCCACGGTGGCTGTAAGGGCTGTTTGTGACGGCGCGAGGACGGGAGCGCGTCCTGCTCGCTGGGTGCCACCAGGGCAGGGGGTGGTTTCAGACAGCAGCAGAGAGGAACAAGGCAGTTGTGTTAGGTGCCCTGAGCTTGTGTTTCCAGGGCTAAAAGGGCCGAATGCCCCTTTTTTGCACTTTTTTCACTGCCTTGCTAAGAGTGGTGACAGCAGAGGAGTGAGGGGAAGGGATTCAGGGGGCAGGTGGCTCCTGCAGGGAGGGAGCAGCAGTGTTGGAAGGAGGGCAGAGGAGCACGAGGAGGGCAGGAACCAGCCGAGGGGCTGTGTCCTTCCTGTGGGAAGAGCCCTCCTGGGCAAGGGGAAGGTGGGAATGCAGGGAGGCGAGTGAATGCAGGGGAGCAAAGCCCTCCCCTCTTTGCCAGAGGGAAGGGGAGAGGCAACCTGAGCCGTCAGGGTTTATTTTTTTGCTCTGAGGGACGAGACACCCTGGCCCTGCTGCCTGCTCGGGCCTGCGGGCCCGGAGCCAGCCCTAATTGCACCATCGGAATCACGCCAGGGGCAAAGGCCAGGATCACCCTGGCACGGGCCTGTGCCCCAGTGCCAGTGCTGCTTTGTCACCCCAACGCCTCCAGCTCACAGTGTGGAGGGGGGCAGCGAGCTCAAGGCCATGCTGATAAACCCAGGCCAGGCCTGAAGGCGAGACAGAGAACAAGGACTTGAACTGCAGCCGTCACCTCCCGCACAGCTCCGTGACACAGAGGGACCAGGAAAGCCCAGGGTGAGAGCAGCAGCCACCCGTGATGCACAAGGGGAATCCAGGAGAGCCCACGCCGAGGAGCAGCTCCCTGCAAGCTGCACGTGCGGGACCGAGAGGCAGCGGCAGCGCAGAGAGGAGCCCACCGGAGCCGGGCACGGAGCGGGCAGAGCCCGGAGGAACGGCACAGCGGAGCTCCCAGCACGGGCAGGCACAGGTTGGGAGCAGAGCCGAGTCACAGCCACGGCACAACTCAGCCAGGCCTCCAAAAGTAGCACAGAACCTTTTATTATTATTATTATTTCAACATAGTAGTGCTTGGTTACAGTTTAGTGAAGAACAAATAGGTACATTCATTGGCCACAGCTTCCTGTTGCAGCCAGCTGCTGTCTGACTGCAAAGCCAAAACACTGTTAAACCATACCAAAAAAAGAGAGTTTAATGAAAGGCAACTATGCATTAAAAAAGTCATTGTACTTTTCAGCTATAAATTACTTCAGTAAAACACAAGACCAGCTCCCACACGAGCCAGCAGAGTTTTGAAATTAATGGCCATCCGTACAAATGAATAAAACCAAAACACTTTGCCAGTCACTCATGAGCACACTTAGCAACGAGACTCACTGCCCCGACCTGTGATCCTAATGCCAGGAAGATCATATTGTTGGTATTTATGTGCTTCAGTGCAATATGAACAATGAGCCTGTAGCCCTTTATTTTTTTATTTTTATTTTTTGCACTACACTCCCTTCCCTCCAAGAAAAACTTAAAGTGCTCCTAGTGCTTTGGAATTTAAGCAAGAACAGGGGCCACTAGCATCACTTACTGTCTTTGGTGACCGAGGGGAGAAGGGCAACGCAGGGAGCCCAGGTCCTTCGTTAGCTTTGCCGCAAGTCAAGCAGTGATTGAGATGGAGCAGCCTGTTTCCGTGTCCCAGGCGAGGCAGGAGGACAGGCCTCACACCAGGAAAGCCACGGCAGGCGCCCGGAGCTCTCTGGTTTGAGCACAAGGGACACGTTCAAAGTCATCATCCCAGAGCCTTCTCTGAGCAGAAGTGGCTCCTGGTGGGAGCAGCAAGAGCAAAGCAGGTTGGCACATATGAGCCAGTGCTGCCCGGGATCGGGGTACGAGATGAGGGGCAGGGTGTTCCCTGTGTGACAAGTGACATCCAGCTCGGGAGCAGCAAGGCCAGGACACGGGTGGGCATGTGGCACACAAGGAGAGGGCAGAGCCATCCTGGCACACGTGGCTGCCCCCGTGTCGCTCCTGCAGCCCGGCTGGCACTGCAGCCCTCCCTGTGCAGCCCCTGCCCTGGAAGAGCTGGGCTAGACCTGCACTGTCAGCCTCGCTCGTCGCAGCAGCAGGAGCAGCTCTGGGCACCTTAACTAGTTCCAGTTCCCATGGAGCAGTTGGAAACAGAGCAACTGTCCTCCCGGAGCGGCGCCTCCAGTCCTGCACGTGCCCAGCGCTGCTCCGCTCGTGCTGGCACAGGGACGAGCCCGGAGCACCATGAAGGCTCAGGCACAGTCTCGTCTCCAGGAGCCTCCCAGCCCCTCTTGGCTAGTTAAAGTGACCCTGGACTCTGTACCCTTCCCAGAGCCCCATGTGCACCACGAAGCCCTGCTGCCAGCCCCTGCTGTGGGGCAAGGACAGCCCTGGGCACAGGGACGGGAACAGAGCCCAGGAGCAGGTTGCTGCCCCTCTGTCTCACGCAGCAGGTGAGGAGGAGGAAGCTCCCACAGAGCAGTCAGTTTTAGGTGCACTTTGGCCAAATAAACTCTTGCATCCACACCTGTGCTGAGCCAGCCCCAGCCCTCCTTCCCCAAAGGGGCCAGCCTGCATGATCCTCCTCCCCACACCTCGACAGCAGCTACACCCCCAGCCTTCTTCCTTTGCCGTGACCTAGTGGGTTAGTTACAATTTAGTGACTTTAAAGCCCGCAGGAGCACTCCCTCTCAGCTGTTACAGGCCTTTGCTAGGGCTCCTCAGCAGTGAAACAAGGACCAGCAGTCAGAGCACGATCGGCCTCAGCCCCACGGGGCGGGAATATGGCACGGTACACTTGAACATTCATTACAGGAGTCCCTGCGTGTAACACCCCGATAACGCGGAGCATCACGCTCCCGCGTGAGGCGGGATGCAGAGTACTTCATGGAATATGTTTAGAAGCTCCAATCTTTGCAGGAAGACAGTGCCTCTCCCAGCTATGGATGTGCAATTAAAAGAGTAACTAGAACAGTCTCAGACCAAGCACAGTCTGAGCAAGATTCATTCCTTCCAAGTGTGCAGATAAAAGTGCAAATATGCATTTGATGTTTCTTTTCTAGTGAGGAAGCTCTGGTGCATTTAGCTGCCAACAACTTGAAGACCAGACCAAGAAAAAGCTTCCAGAAAGTTCAGCTTCACTTTGCTACATGGTACCTTAAAGTCACAGTTCTCTTACTGCCTGCAGCCATAGGTTCAGTCCTGCTTACGGCCACAGCAGGTAGTGGAATGTTTGTGTCGATGAGCTAAATGCTTCAGGGAAGAGGAAAAGAGAAAACCAGATTACAATCCTATACATGAATGCCACTTTGGGGAGAAAAGGGCCTTTGGAGCCGCCTCAGTTGGGTGGTGCAGGGCACGGGCTGTGCCCTGGGGGATTATCCCGCTCGGAGCCGCCCGCAGCGCAGAGCAGGGGGGCACTGTCTGGAGCTGCTGCGCTGAGGTGGGCGCCTGCCGCGTAGCTGTCGTTCCCAGCCAGGGACCCATAGCAGGCAGAGCTCTGAGGGGTGGCCAAGCTGGGAAGAGAGATAAAAACCAAAACACGGACTCTTAGAGATGGACGGTTTCTTAGTTCAGAGGCTAAGCAGGGCATTTAAAAAGCCACTTCCATAGACTTATGACATCCAGATATCATGTTTTCAAGGAATCCTGCCTTAAAGGAAGCCATGAGGTGCACCAGGCCTGGCAAAGCTGGTCAGGAATGGCAGAGCCTTCATCTTCTCACTACAGCCCCAGGGCACAAGGCGCTCAGCTCCCCAAGGAGCAAGTGAGAGACGGGGCTGCTGGGTTTCCCTTGCACTTCAGCTGAGGACACAGCCCATTCTCCCCCACCGCAGTGTTTCTGCAGAGCTTTGTCCCAGATGGCTTCCAGGGGACACATCCTCAGGGGACTTCACCTCCTGCTTTGCTTTAGCGATGGGGAAATCCCTCTGGAGGCTGTTTTGAGAGCCCCTCTCCCCTCACCAGCTGAGGGAGGGCCCTAGATCAGCCCAACCAGATGAGGCCTCATGTCTGCAGTCACTGTGCACATGTACCTGTGAGCACCCACCACGACACCCACATCTCAGAGCTGGTCACTTTTGCCTAATAAAAACAGCCCTGTGAGCTAGGGAGCAAAACCAAACTCCAACAGAAGGTTCCTTGCCCCATCCACCTTGCCCAAGCTCACTTCTATGCCAAGCTTTTTCCTGATAGCAGAAGCCAAGAACTGTTCCTTGCCCACAGGGCAGCAGAGCAGCAGCTGTGTTTCCACATGCCCAGGACAGCACCTACCTGCCTTCTCTGGCCCCGAGCCGTGACAAGTCGTCATCGCTGTCGTAGCGCCGTGGATTGTCAAAGAAGTAGGCTCTGGAGCTGTAGCTGTGACTATTGACCATTCCTATGAGAAAGAAGCCGGGTCAGTAGCAAGGCATTCCTATCGTCTTCCTAAAGGTTCACCCCCAACACCCCAGACCTTTGAGCTCCTTCGTGCACAGGGACATTCAAGCTAGAGCAGCTTGCTCAGGCCTACCAAGTTCTGACTCAGTCTCTGAGCCCGGAAGAACAGCACCACGAAAGTCGTTGGCACCAGCTCCCAGAGGAAGAGGACCACTCCGAACACCACGTACTCCTCACTGCTCACTTCCACACGCACCTGCGGGCACAAGTTAGACAGCTCTGAATACCATCAAGGCTCCAGAAACTGGACATGGACATAGCACAGGAGAACGAGGAATGCAGAGGAATCCTTGCAGAGGCAGGAATCCAAGGCAGCAGTGACCCTTGTCTGGCTTCTGCTGTTTCCAGAGGAACAGTAGCTCCTCAGTGTGCTACCCGGGCACTGCAAGCCCTCCCTACCCTAGGGGCTCTCCTTTGCTCATGCCTTTCAGCACTGCTTTTCTGCTCTAGTTGACTTGTTTCTCCTCTCCCCCAGAGAAAGGGCTGCCAGGCTTCACAGCTTAAGAGCACAACAGAGAATCCCCTCCTGAAAAAGGAACTAGATGGAGGAAGATTCAGGCTTGCTCTGCTAGAGCAGATTTGAGACAGAAATCCATCTTACTTGGGAACACAGAGAGGCCAGAACCCCACTAGTCTCCTTTCCCCCTACACACACTCACAGGAAGGTACAATGACCCTCGTTCACTTCATTACTAGCTCTGAACTGGAGGCCACACAGACACTTACCTTGTCGGAAAGGTTGTCCCAGCCATAGTTAAAAGGCCCAGGAACATTGTCTGGAGATATGGCCACAGCTACCAGGTTATAGCAAGCCCTTGAAGAGTACAGAAGAGCAACTACAGATCCCACAAGAATAGCCTGGCAGACAGATGTTCCCTAGAACAGAAAGAAAACCAGATTTGTAATGCAGATCTTACTACAGAGCTTTTTTTTTTTCCCTCTCCTCCCCTGCAAATGCAGGAGAAGCTCTGTGGACAAGACTGACCTAGAACATTTTTATGCTGTTGCTAAAATATTCACAACTAGTTGAGAGCTTCTGTATGTGATGTAATGGCAGGAGCAGAACTTCTGCAGAAGGAGCTGTGTGGTCATCACTGCTGTAGAGCCTTGTGCTTGACCAGCACAGCAGGGTGACTTTCTCAATAGGGTGTTGACAGGTCCTTGAAGAGGGAGGTGACCCAGTGCTGCTGGGGGACAAGGCTGGCTCTGCTGTGGCAACTGGGTTGTGATGGGGGATTTCTGCTGCTGCCTTGGGCAGCAAGACCTTTCTTCAGCACATCCTAGAGGCAAGCCTGTCAGAGGGACAGCTGCCCAGGAGCTGCCCCAACATCAGTGTATGTAGCCATAGGAATGGGAGCTTCATCAAGACACTTGCAGTTACTCAAGTCACATTATTTTTTTGCTGAAAACTTCCCCATGAAGCTGTTTTAAACAGCTATTGGTAGGCACTAAGTCATTGCATGGTAGAAACCAGCAAGAGGCAAGCAAAGTGAACAAGATGCAGTGATTTTGCTTCATATTTTAACAGTGAATCTTCCAGGAGCTCCACCTCATTCACTTATTCTACAACCAGACGACGGGTACACATTAGTACCATTTTCCTAGCTTTGGAAAACTAGCTCAAGGCACAATCTGGGAAGAGCCTGCTTGAAAACACCCAAGTGCCCATGACATCCCCAACCCTGTGCCTGAAGCATGGCCAAGTCCCTGCTATCCAGGGCAGCAGAATTAGAGGCAGAAGGGCTGGTGAAGCAACAGGCTCTGGCAGGCAAGGACCACAGTTCAGGAGCTGGCAGCAGCCCAATGGCAGAGGCCACCTCTCAAACGGCTCCGAAGCCTTCCCACATCCTGGGTGGAGGTGGCAGTGTTGCTGGGCCCCCTCTGGAATTGCTGTGTTGTTTTGAGCCTCCCCAGGCTTGCAAGTGGAGCTCAGCAGACAGGGCTGCCTCTGCAGACATTTGTGTAACAGCCCTGCTCATCCCCACCCTGTTTTTGCAGTTCCTGCTCTGTGCTCTCAGTCTAGGGATGCCTCCAAGGCAGGGAAGGGAGACACGAGCTGGATGCAAGAGACCTGCACCAGACAGTGAGGCTGAGCACTCGAGGAAGCACCTTCTTCTCTAGCATATGTTGTACATGAGCAGGGCCCTGCAGGCAGCCCCGGGCACACGGCTGCAGGAAGGCACCATGTCAGTAAATCATTGTTGGGTGAACCCGATAGCTTGGTGTCCACAGCCAGCTACAGCTGAAGCTCTGTCCCGTGTAAGCAGAGATTGGACCAGCTTCTGTCTCACTCCAGAGCACCCTGCTGCAACCTGGGGTTTCTCTGGACAGTTGTCACCAGAGCGAGTTGGGCAGCCACCCTGGCTGCTCGCAGCCCAAACCCCCAGATTCTCAGCAGCTGCAGAGCCCTCTGCTTCCTAAGGGGGCCAGACTGCTCCTACAGAAACCCTCTGCTTCAGCCCCAGGAGGAGAGCTCTGGCTGCCCCTCCGCTTCCACTCAGCAGAAGGCCAGCCCCAGCTGCCCCCTTTAAGTGGCCCTGTAGATCAGAGATAGTCACTTGGATCCAGAGTCCCAAACCCACAATCCACAGGGCAGTGCCCTCTTCTCTACAGCAACAGCATAAACCACCTCCAGAAGGAAGCAGGAGTTGTCAGCTTCGCATTTTAGGGAGTATTTGAGCAAGAACAGCTCTGCTCCCACCAGCTCAGGGTGGCTCTAACTAAGCACAGAGATGCAGGTGAGAATCCAGTGAGAGCTGCACTGCTCCAGTACCGTTCACACAGCATTTACCTACCTTGGACTCGAGGTAGACGTTTGCTGAGGACATTTTGCCCAGTTTGCACATGCAGCAAGCCAGTGAGATGGCACAGAGGATGAAAAGGCTGTCATTGACTAGGGCACGGGCGAGGACTGTCCATCTCAGCTGGTTCTCTGGGACTTCACCGTGGATGAGCATTGCACAAGTTAAGTTCACAACTAGGAAAAGGAGGCTGGTAAATACAGAGCCCAGATACAACAGGACCCTGGAGAAAAGGCATGTAAGAAAAATGGACTTTGCATAAGTTTTTGCAGACAACTCCAGTCATTCTCCACCACCCCCCTGCCTCAGCAGGCAGGATGACCTCCCAGCATGTCCACAGCTCTCCTGGCTCTGAAGATCAAGCATTCTGGCAAGTTTCAGTGGCTGTGCTGGCACAGCCCAAGCCTGCCATGTACTTCTATTTAAGCTGCTCTCATTTAGCATGAGCTGTGTTAAGTAGTCATGAGTTACAGGACTCATCTTCTGACAGTCAGGTTCTTATCTTGCAGATTTTAAGTGCTGCTCTAGCTCTGCATTAGCTTCAGTCAATAAGCTATGAGTCATCAGACCACTGCAACTTCTCTATTGCAGGCCACTGGAGCTTACATTTTCCATGGAAATTGCTGGGGAGCACCTGGACCACAAACACAAATGCCACCTATTGCTCAACCTTATCCAGCAGATTTTTCCTGGAGGTGGGATAACTCAGAAGGACCTTGAGAGTACACCTATTTCAGCATCAGCACTGGATTGCTCATGACACATACAGAGACCTGCATTAGCCTCCTCTGTATCCCTGACCCGCTTCCCCAGTTCCCAATCCTGCTCCAAGGCATGGCACAGATCCTTTGTCAGAGCACAGCTATGACAGAAGGTCTATCCAGGCTTTGGGGTCTGGAGCTCCCATTCTGAGCACTAGAGCATTAACCCCCTTGCAAGGCCTTTGAAGAAGGTGAGAAGAGTGTCACTTACTTGTACTTGTTGAATTCAGCTGCACATTTCACTTTGAATATGACCTAAGGGAAAAAAGTTACATGGCATTACTTAGGGATCCCCACATCTCCTTTAAGCTTAGGAAAGATCTATACAACAGGACAGACATCATCATCTAGCTGGAGAATTTGAAGGCCTATGGATTGTCTATAAACACCAAGTTTGATTTACCACCTTGTGAGAGTGATTGGCTCTTTTCCTGAAAGGGACAAGTTTGAATGTAAGTGTCCAAGGAGAAAGAACATCTGGTAGCCCACATATGGCAGGGTTTTAACAATACCACACCTAAGGACTTCAAGAAGAGAGACAAGCTTAGTTAACCGCTAAGAACATTCAAAACTACATTAGCTTCACCAAATATTCTTTGTATTGCATATTTTAAGACCTCAGTCAAGTTGAATTTCCATTTGGAAGAGGCCACTTTGGTTGCTATACTTCAGTGAAGCAAAGAGCTGGTTAAAACAGCCCCAGAGTATTGGATTTTGGGCCTGCAGCTCCACTATGAGCTTTACTAGAGTCTGTGGATAACAACAAGCATTTGGGCTCCTTGGTTCTTTTGATGTCTCTAGGTCAAATACACCTGACAAAGTGCACAGGGGTGAGACTCCTAGTATGAGAAAGGAGAGCTAGATCAGGAAAAGGGGACCCATTCCCAAAGAAGGGAACTTGGGTCCCAAGTCCAGAGACTTTGAAGGAACTTAAGAGGTGGAGGCAGTCGCATCCAGCAGATACACTTGGGGGTAAGTGCAAAGCTATTATTTAAGTGCAAAGGTTTAGTTTCTCTACTCTAAAAAGTGAACCTCAGACTGCAGCTCATCATCTTCATTCATCCCCTAAAAGGGGCTCTTGGTCAGCTCGTTTTCCCCTCTGACAGGGCTGACTGGAAGGCAGGAGCCAAGAGATCCTGAGGTAGCAGTAGTTCTCCAAGGCTTCAGAACCCAGGCTCCAGCCAGCAGGATTTCCAGAGACACTTCCAGATTTGAAGAATTCTGATCCAATATAAAAAATCCATCACTTGGAAGTCCTCACGGCAGACCAACCTCAGCAGCTCTGTTCCTACAGCCACTTCTCACTGTCTGGGTCTTCTTCCTCAGCTTGAAGGAAGAAGTGAAAGAACAACAGAGAGCAAGAGACAGTACCCAGGCAGAAGGAGACCTAGGAAGCAGGTTCACAGGCCCTTTAACCTGCTGTCCTGTCCAAAAGCAGTATAGGGAAGAAAACAGCCCAGAATCAAATAAAACCTGGGCACAGGAAGGAAAGTTTGGTCACACTTCAGAGTGTTATTTGTCCGCTCCCCCACGCATTTGCCCAAGGGCTACAGTGGAGCCCAGCGCTTTGGGAGTGTCTGAGCAGACACCAAGGACATCCAGCTGGGAAAGCTCCTGCTTCAGCAGTTACACAACACAGGAGCTGCCTGCACTGCTGCAGCCTCCCAGAAGGGCAGTCCCATCGGTACAGCTGCCCTGCGGGTCCTGGTAGGGTGTACTGCACCCAACAGCCCTGAGTGTGGAGGGTCCTGCAGCCGGGCAGGGCAAGGACAGCGCCAGGAGGCCCTGGCTCCAGCAGCTGCAGAAGCCCTAGGCAAGATGGACTGCTAAAACTGCCCCTTATGGACCCAAAATCTGGGCAGTAAAGGATATAAAGCTCTCAGAGTGCAAGAGTGCCCCAAAACTTCTGTTCAAGCTGTTGCTGTGAGCAGGGGGACACCGTGGCACCAGCTGTGATCTTTTGTTAGCCCCCAGATCCCTTCCTCGAGTTCCAGGGCTAGGTAAGGGGCTCACTGCTCGGTTTAGTTTCATCTTGGTTATGGGCACATAACTCTTTGGAGGGCTTTTTCCTCCCGTCAGAGGCTGGCTCAGTGGGTGACACAGGCAGCACTCACCCTGTCTCAACAGGGTGAGCTCAGAGGGGCAGTGAGGCAAGTCCAGAGCAACAGGACTGGGCATTTTCACCCTGCACAAACCCTTTTTGTCAGCTGAGCCATGCTCAGAAGCTGTCTTCCTGAAGATACAGGTTCTCCAAGCACTTACAATCAGCAGCAGACTGGGAAAGAAAGCTGGATTGAGCATAGTTATGGGCCTGAGGGCACCCTGCCGTGCTGGAGGTTTCCGTTTTGGGGAGGAAAAGCAGCAGACACTTTACAGAAGCAAATTCTTTGCTCACATCAGTGAGCCCATGAACTGAACTCACTAGGGACAGATGTTCTAGAGCATGAGCTAAGAACCACTCATGCTTAGAAGCTGAGCTGGGAAGGGTCAGAGCAGCAAGAAATGATGAGGTACCACCACCTATATCCCAGAGATGGGCCTAAGGATCAAGCTTGGTACCTGTACAAGTCAGGTTCCCCAATCCTTGCAAGGAACAGCTCCAGGTAGCAACTGAGCTTCATTTTGGTATAAGCATTCATTGCCCAAACCCTGAAGATCCAGGAGAACCGAAGCCCCTCAGAGAACCTCCAAGCATAGTCCCCATCTTTTGGTCACTCTTCCTGGCAGGACAGGAGTCCTTTACCCCAAAAGAGGAGGAGAGAAGGAAGTGGAGCCCCGTGGCTGCAGACACAAGGCAGAGAGCCCCGTTCTGCTGTAGCCTTACCCGAGATGAGCACAGCACCCGCTGCAAGAGCATCAAAATAGAGCCCTCCTCTCCCTGCAGTAACGCAGCACAAGGCATCGGGATGCAGCACAGGTGCTTTCAGGGCTCCACCAGACAACAGCGCTTCATTTCCCCCACCACCACTTCGAGAAGAAGTCAGGAACCATCTGTGAGATCTATCAGCCCCACTGATGCTGGGATCCCCCTGCATCACCACAAGCACAGGGTGACACTGGCAGGTACCCCAGGTCCCTAGAACAGCACGGGAGTCGCTGCAGAGCGGCACCCAGCTTGGAACCTCGCTGGTTGTCCCCACGACCACGGTGCTACCGGGGACAGGGACCTTCCCAGGTGCCACGAGATGGAGGAGGTGGAAGAGCGCAGGGATTGATGGAGGGGGCAGGAAGGCCGCAGCCTTGGAGCAGGACAGCAAGGACAGAGCTCCCAGGCTGGATGCTGTTTCCAGGCATGTCTGCTCCGGTGCAATTAGAGCAACCACGGATGAAAGAGGCTGATGTCATCTAATCAGATGGAGCACTTAAAGAAACCCAGACAGGTTAGGGGTCACAGCCACACCAGTCTGCCAGGGCAGCCCTGGAGAGGCCCTTAGTCACTGCTGCTCTCCCCCACGTGAGACAAGAGGGCAGAAGGTGCCCAAGAGGGCCAGCAGGAAGGTTGCCACAACCAGCGTCATGGGCACTGCATTCCCAGCAGTGACCTGGAAAAGCAGGAGCTGGGAGACTCTTACTGAGAGAGAGGAAGCAACGCTCCCTCCAGAAAGGATTGCACCTCCTGCCTTCCAGGAGGGAAGGAGCAGGGACAGAAGCAGCCATCCTCACCGGATAAGCATCCCACATGCATCTGGTTGGGCTTCCATGACCCCCCAGGAACCTCCTGGGTCAAGAGGGGAAATAAACAGGACAGCCTCTCCCCGCAGAGCAGTTACACACGGCTGAATTTCATTCCCAGGACAGCAGGCAACGCAGCGCTAATTCTGCATGGGTATTTGTTGCTTTCTGAAGCTCCTCACCCCTACTCAGCACCATTCCATCCTCAGCTTGTCCCCAGCCTGAGGATCTCCACAGAATGAGTAAAATCAGCTCAAACAACAGCCCAGGCCACGTTTCCTTTCCTTCAGCAGATGTCATTTCTTTCCAGCATCTCCACAAAGAGACACCACGCACAAAGACAACTGGCCAGCTCTCGAGCACACAAACCTACGCTTGCATCCGAGGAAATCCAAGACCAGGATGCTCCTTCCAGGGCAGTAGGAGCTTAGTGTCCTTCCAAAGGTTGCAGGCACAAGTGCCATCAATGGGCTGGCCCCGGCAGGTTTCTGAAGTCACCTCGTGATTGTAGCAATCCTCTTTCAATCCTGGAGGATTTCAGTTAGACTGAAAGTGATGCAGGCCACAGCAGTGGCAGTTCCTGTTGAACTATGCCCTGAACCCACCTAAAGGCCAGGAGAGGTTGTACAGGGGAAGACACTGAACGGAGCCAAGCCAGACTTATCAGTTAGGCACCACCATGTCAGGGGGAAGCCTGTGTTATCAGGCTGCCCTTCAAGCAGTTAGGAGGCCAACATCATTCCTCAGCACTGTTTCCTTCACGGAAAGGGAGGAATGGAAAATCCCCCTAGCCACGCTCTTCCTCCTAACCTGGAGGCTCCAGCTCTCCAGACAGCACCATGAGATCAGCTATGGGTGAGCATGGGTTTCTCACCAAGAGCTTCTGACACCCGTTCTCCCCAGGACAGCCACATGTCAGGCCCTTCCTTGTAACTAAGTAGGCAAAGCCATTTCCATAAGTCATTTTAATCCCTTTCCACTGCAGACAATTGAGGCAGAATTTTCCTTGGCTCAAGATCTCCAAGGAAGAAAAAGGAAAAGGGATATGCCCAGCCAGGGAGTCTATTGCAAAACAGATACTGTGGGAGGAAGGGAAGCCTGAAAACCCAGCAGAGTTTACTTTACACTTCTTTAAAGGAGCCTTTCCTGCAAGCAGGATATCAAGTGCAGAGACCGAGAGGAACACAAAAATCCAGCCACTTCATTGCAACGGGGCTGGGGTCCTTGTCTTTCCAGGGACACAAACACCTCCTAGCTGGAGCACTCAATAGGTCGGCCCTTGGCGGATTGTGCACACTCTGCAGCATTTGTTATTTTGCTGCCGCTTGATAGGCAGCGTATCTCACGCCAACAGCTCTAGAGCAGGCAGTTTACCCCAGCTCCCAGGTGTTTGGGTTGCAGGGAGAAGAACCAGAACAGCTGAACAGCCCCACGGCTCCAAGTTGCACATTATCATGCGAATGTGGATGTGCTAGGGAAAATGAAGTCATAATTCCCATCCATGACACATCGGAGCGATGGAGCGATTTCGCTGTGTGCTAGCGATTCCTTTGTGCGGCTGGCAAACAGCTGAGGGCTGCAGAGCAAAGAATCCAAACAACAACAACAAAGCGGGAAGGAAAAGTGCTGCCTATTTACGAAACAAGTCACCAAACTGGAAGGCAGGCGAGCAAAGGGCTGCTCACGAGAAACCGGAGCAGAAACCAAATATCCAGAGGAAGAAGGGGAGGAGGCAGCCGAGGCTTTAATAGACAAAAAGTGAAACGACCAGAGAGAGGAGAATAACAAAATAAATCACAAAGCACAATAAGGGAACCCAGGGAAAGA